ATGGGAGGGAGGCCTAAGGTCAAGTGTGGCTGCGCCTGTGGTGGGAAGTAGGAAAGATGAGTCACATGCTGAGTAGCTAATACAAAAAGTGAGTCCACCTGTGCTCTAAGTCAGTGCTGCGGCCAGCCATCAGCAATCCCCTAGACTCCTGTGAGAAAGGACTGACTTAGAATTTGTCAAGGCTTGAGAATCTCCCTACCCCCACTCCAGCATGTTGTGAAGAGCCCAGAAGATTCAGGCTGAGGGGCTCCACCAGTAATCCTGTGGACAGAATGCTGGGGTGGCGTTGGGAGAGGAGATACCCTAGGAGCTAGGGGATTCCAGGTTCTGGCATCTGGTGTGCAGCACCCCCATTTTTAATCAGACCACAGCAGTTAAAAAGGACTTTTCCACCCCGTATAGGGTTTCCAAGGAGAGGCTGGTGGATTTGAACCACCATCCTTGTGGTTCAAACTGACGTTGCAGTCCAGCACAACCTAGTATTGCTTATCCTACAGCACCACACCAGGACTCCACAAAAGACTTAGTTGTTGTTGTTGTTGGTAAGTGCCGTCAAGTCTGTTCTGACTCATAGCATCGCTGTGTAGGGTTTCCGAGGAGCGGCGGGTGAGTGTGAATCGCTGATCTTGTGGTTCCCACAGCACCACACCAGGACTTTAAGTTGACTCCAACTCATGGTGGCCCTGTGTGTGTCAGAGTACAGCTGTGCCCCGTGGGTTTTCAAGGGCTGATTTTTTGGAAGTGGATTGCCAGGGTTTCCTTTGAGGTGCCTCTGGGTGGACTCAAACCTCCAACCTTCTGGTTAGCAGCCAAGCACATTAACCATCTGCACCCTGTAGAGAGCTCATTCATCAATAAGTAAACAAAAGCAAATAAGGAGAGTGGGATCTTCCTCACAGTAGACCTGCTTCTGAGTCCTTTGTGGCCCAGCTACCGGCAAGTACAGTTCCACTTTCCTGGCTTTGTAAATTAGGAAGGAACCCAATGCAGTGTGTTAGGGCCTCTTTCAAGGACTGTAAAGATTTCTCAAAGATCTAGAGGAAGGATATTCCATCAGTGTCCCCTTTGGAAATACTGCTGGGAGAGGTGAGAAGAATGGCTCTGTGCTGCTGGCTTTTCAGGAAGATCCATGTGGTTACAAGCACAAATTATATGTTCTTGAGCATTTGAGGGGCGAAATAAGGGTTACCTTTGTCTCTGAGAGACACTGAGAAGTGAAACCAGAAGTATCTGGTAAGCTCTCTCGGCCTCACAGTCATCTCTGTGATGTGTTTTAAACATCCTGTCGTTGGAATATTGGAACTCTTGTAGCTCCTCATGATGAAAAGGCTTGTTTGTCCCGCTAGCCTCAGGGGTGGGGTTCTACACTTCCTGAATGCCATGTTAGCTTCCAGGGGTCAGGAGACTCCTGCTTTTATTGATCACCACAATCAACTATTTTTAACAGTAAGAGAAGTGGAAATACTGAGCTCATATTTGTTGTGAAAAAGCCTCTTTCCCTGGGCTGTTTCATGGACCCTTGTCCAGGGAATAGGCCTTAGTTTCTGATGTGTTTTTGTGTGTGTAAGATGAAGGGAAGCACAAAAAGAAGAGAGAAGAAGAGGACGAACCCTCTGTTTTCAAAATCAGATTGAAAAGTTAAAATTTCCCAAGTTGTAAGTGACAACCAGCACTGTCACAATGTGGTTCCATCAGGCACACAGTATAAGCTGTTGGACCACCTCAGCATTGACCATGTTCGCACACAAGGTGTGGGGCTACCCAGCTCTCCCAACCTGGCTCACAGAGTGGATTTGGGGGGTGGGGGAGCAGAAGACTTGTCTGCTGTCCGTTTCCATGAGGCCCACACACAAGTGTGTCTGCTGATGCTGGAGGCAAGGAAAAGCAGCAGGCCGGAGACTGCCCAGGGCACTTGGCTTCTGGACACTGTTCCCAATGTGACTGCCAGACCTCACACCGAACTGGCTTCTCTGAGTTCTGCCCATGTGTCCTTACGGCTTAAGGTATTTGGGGGGCTGCTCTTCCCACTTGTGTTCATTTCTGTTGGCCATATAGAAAAGAATCCTTTTGTGGAAGGACAGTTATAACCAGCTATCACATGGCCTGAGGCCGTAGAGTCTCTGATGTGGGTCTGAGACTCCATCACACAAGTTTAGAGTCTTTTTCTGCCTCCCGCCCAGGGCGGAGCAGAGGGGAACCTGGTCTCAGGCATGGGCGCAGGGCAGAGACTCTTTCCAGAGTAGTTAGTTCTCCCTTCATTCCCAATTGTGTACGAATCTATTTATAGGAGATTAAAGGACAGATCCAGTAACTGTAATTTAGAAGGTTCTGGCCCAAATGTTGAAACTGCTTACACTTTCATGGTTAACACAAATTGATTGCTATAAAGCCTCCTCCCAGGCAAGCTCTTATGTCAGGAGACTCTTTTTAAGTTTGCATCCAGTTGTAGCTGATGTTGAACTAGTTGTTCATTGCCATCGTGTCAGTTCCAACTCCTAACGACTTTGTATGTAGGATTTCCGAGAAGTGGCTGGTGAGTTTGAACTTGCAGTTATCAGTCTAGTGCTTACCCACACCATCACTTGTTCAGTGCCATTGAGTTCTGACTCATAGCAACCTTGTATAGGGCTTCCAAGGTTTAAATCTTCGCAGGAGCAGAAAACTTCATCTTTCTCCCGTGGAGCAGTTGGTGGGTTCAAACCACAGACCTTGTATTTGCAGCTCAGTGCTTATCATATGAATCCACTACACCACTAGTGGAGAATACAATGGCAGGCTGCTTGTGGGCTGCAATGAGGATGTGGATTTAGTGGGAAATGCACAGGGCTGAATTCTGAGAAGCCCATCCAGGAAGTTCCTTGGCAGAACCAACAGCTGTCTGCAGATCCCCCTGTATCCCGGGCCCCCAGAACGGGTCCCTACCACCACCCCCCGAGCTTTCCACTCCATCATCCAAGAGCAGCCCATGCTGTTATCAGATCAATTTGGAGGGTTTTCTTGGCAAATTTCTGCTTGGTAAACCCTTAGTAAAAGGATCTGGAAAAAAAAAAGCATTCAAAAAATAGTTTCTGTATTTAAATGTACTATGCACACGTAGCAAGGAGCTCTGGTAGCATAGTGGTTATGAATCGAGCTGCGAACCACAAGATCAGCAGTTCGAAACTACCAGCTGTTCCACGGGAGAAAGATGAGGCTTTCTGCTCCCGTAAACATTTACAGCCTCAGAAACCCTGTACAGGGTCGCTGTGAGTTGGAACTGACTCCACAGCACGTAACAACAACAACAACATGCACACATAGTATAGTGCTGTAGGATAAACACTGGACCAGGAGGTCAGTTTGAACCACAAGATCGGTGGTTGAAACATACTAGCTGCTTCTTAGAAACCCTATTCACAGTCATTTTGAGTCGGAACCGACTCGACAGCACTTAACAACAACAATTGAGGGAGTGTGGTAATTCTGTAGGGTAAACACAGGACTGGGAACCACAAACTTGGAGATTCAAGCCCACCAGCCACACCACAGGACAAAGGTGAGGTGATCTGCTCACGCAAAGATTTAAAAAGCTTCAGAAACCTTCTACACAGGGTGGCTATGAGTCAGAACCAACTCAGCAGCACTTAACCAGCAACAATGCACATATGTGCACACACACTCACATGCCTGCCAGTGAGTTCAGGGATACTGGTGTAGAGGTGATTTGTGTTCTCTTTGCTTTCCCCTTGTTAGAAACCCCAAAACTTGGTGGCAATGAAAGGGCACGTGTCAGGAATGTTCTGTTTAGTATTAGGACCAGTAGCATTTAATCAAATTGGTTGTCATCTGGCACTGACAACTACAGTTTTCAGTGGCTGTAGATGACTAGGTCTTTCGTCCAAGGTGTCTCTGAGGAGATGCGAACCTCCAAACTCCCAGTTAGCAGCTAAGCGTCACTCCAAATCTCTTACTATAGAAAACAAGTGGTTGCGGTTTTAAAGCAGGGATGGGAGAAGTCCGGCCCACGGGCCCTGCCAAGGCAATCACAGTTCCAGCCATCACATTATTGTTGTTATGTGCCATGGAGTCAGTTCTGACTGTTAGCAACCCTTTATAGGGTTTCCGAGGCTGTAAATCTTTACAGGCCCAGAAAGCCTCATCTTTCTCCTGCAGAACAGCCGGTAGTTTTGAGCTACTAACCCTGAGGTTAGCCTGACTCGTAACCACTACGCTTCCAGAGCTCCTTCCTGTCACATTAGAGCCGAGTTAATGAAAGGTTTGACCAGATATAGTTGATAATTTGGTATGGCCCACAAATTTATAAGTGTTGCAGAAAAAAGGTTTGGAGTCCTGGTATGGTGCTGTGGAATAATGTGCTGGACTACAATGTCTGTTTGAACTGCAAAGCTGGCAGTTCAAGTTCACTAGCTGCTCCCCAGAAACCTATATGTGGTCATATGGGTCAGAACTGACCCGACGGCACTTAATAACAACAACAACCCTTGTGTTAGAGGAAAACCTCACAATGGAGAACGAACAGCATGCTTGGGGATTTGCACTTCATTTTCCAATTATGTTTTGCATTTATCTGCTGTCTTACATCATTAATTTTTTAAAGGTAATTTTAAAAAAAATCTGGTGTTAAGATAGTGAGGTGCACCTCACAGAAGCATGCCCTCTTCTCCTTTAAAATAGCCAAGTTGTGGTTAGGTGCCGTCGAGTCAGTTCCAACTCATATCAACCCTGTATAGGGTTTCCAAGGAACGACTGGTGGGTTTGGAACTGCTGACCTTGTGGTCCAGTGCTTATCCTGCAGCACCAAATCCTCCTAAATAGGATTGTGCTTCCTATCTTTAAAAAACAAATGAATCTAAGAGACATCTGAGGCTGGCTGTGGTGGTGGTACCTAGGTCGACATACTCCAGAGAGTAACTTGATATAATGCACAGAAGACTCTTTATCGTGAAAGCCTGTAACTGCTAGCTTGTTGCTCACTGGATTTTTCTCCCTCATCTCTTAAGGTTCGCCATCGGTGGTGTGAGCTCATTGTCAAGCACAAGTACACGAGAGCATATGGTCAGGTGGAGCGCTTCCTGCAGGAGGACCAGGTGAGCCCCATCACCTAGTGGGCGGCCCGGTGGGTGGACCTACATCTGCGGCTCCGGGCCCTTTCAGGTTCTGGCTGTGGCTGGCATCAGTGCTATTGCAGCTCTACTGTACAGCCCGTGTGTGGGATAGACATGGGTCCACAGGGGAGAAGAGTGTGTGTGTGTGTGTTTGTGTACTTGGGGTGTTTGTGAGTTGAGCAGTCACAGAATTGAGGCATCTGCACATACCACCAAATGGGGTGTCCACTTGGCTCCTGATCTGTGGCTCCCCTGTGTGCCAGTGAGTCACTCTTGCTCCCACTGGGTGCGTGTCTTTGGTGAGCCATTGGTTCTCTCTGCTGCTGGAAGTCAGCCTTCATCTCCTTCCTGTAACAGGACCAGGGCTGGCGGGCTTTATGGCTAAAGGACCGAGCCACTTCTCAGTTCTCAGTGGGGTGGGAGAGAGGGTAGGAGTGAGGCCAGGACAGACAAAAGGACTTTTGATAGGCTTCTGAGACCGGGGGCAGCCAACTAGTGAGGGCGCATTATTCCCACAAAGAAAAGTGCATGACTTTGTACCAGCAGAAATGTCACATTTGCACAGTGAAGCAAGAGGTGTTTGAAAAAACAGAGGGGCGGGGGATAAGGGTAGCCTTCGAAGGACAAAGTGTAACAGCCACTGTGTCCTTAGGGTCTATTCTGATGACCAGAATGCATTTCCCAGCTGCCTCAGGGAAGAATTCTGAACCCCTGATTACCTAGTGTTTTAGCTTGTCCCATCTTTGAGATCCTCCCTCTCATTTGCTTTAGCACAACCTCATCTGCGGCAGAACTAAGCTTGGAACAAGAGAGTGGGCAGAACCAGAGGGGCCCATTGCTTTCCTGGAATGTAATTGGCTGTGTTGGAAATGTGGGAAGAATGCAGATGTGCGTGAGGGCAGCCTTGTTTTTGAAACAGAAAAGCAGTGTGTTCCGTGGTGGTGGGAAGTAAGAGCACCAGGCGTTTGTACCTGTGTCTGCAGCGTGACATGGGCTCCACGTCCCTTTGTAGGTTATGTGCTTCATGAATTAACTCCACCAGCTCTGCCAGGGATTCCTCTCCGAGAGGAGCATTGTGGTCACTGTGGGTGGGGTCAATCCTGCAGGAACACCCTTACATCATCAGAACCCAGTGATACTATTGAGAGCGGAGAAGTCCTCAGGTGTGGCAGGGGTTCCAGAAGTAGCTGTAGCTACTCAACAACTGCCCCTTCACTTGGGCCTCTGTCATTCTGAGATCAGCAAGTTCCTGTGAAACGAGCAGGCCCGTGCATGCCCATGGGCGCACATTCACAGGACCCTTTCTCTTATGCTCTCCCCGCCACAGGGCATGGGTGTCTACCTCTACGGGGAGCTGATGGTGAGCGAGGATGCGCGACAACAGCAGCTCGCCCACAGGTGCTTCCAGCTGACCCAGGAGCAGATGGACAGGGCCTTGGCACAAGTGGTGGCTGAGATGCTGTTTTAACAAGGTGACTCTCTCCCTCTCCTTCTCCTTTGTTTGGTTCTAACTAGATACTCCTCTTAGGAACCAAAGTGAGCCGGGAAAAGCAGTTCACAGCTGTCTTCAGGCAGCGTGAGGAGCCTCACAGTGCAGAATGGCTCTCGCAGGCAGTGCAGTAGGCACTGCCGAGTTCTATGTGGAGCCAGAAATGATGGCAAACACCTGCAATAATCCTAGGAGCTGCAGGGATGCCAACAAGGTGTCACCACGCAGCTGCCGGGGTCCCACCTACCACAGGCTGCACTGCTGGGCCCCGTGTGCTGTGGACACATGCTCCCTCTGCCTCGGCCAGCCTGCGTCACAGGTCCGACTGGGAAGCCCTGAGAGCCAGTCTTCTTCCACTTTACCTCATGGTCTAGGACAGGGGTGGGGAACCTTTTATTCTGCCAGAATTTATAACATCATTCACAGGCCATACAAAATTATCAACTTAAAAATCACCTGCTGTATTTAGGCAAACATTTAATTCACTCACCCCTAATGTGATGGCTGGAACTGCAGTTACCATGGCAGGGCCAGACCAGGTGATTTTGTAGGCCTTGGGGCTGGATGCTCCTCACCCCTGGTCTCAGAGGTGAAGGTTTGGAGTGGAAGCTCTCCATGATTTCAGACGTTACTTCTGTTTGTTGTTCTTGGAACTCGCCTATCAGGCTTCCTTCCTTCATTGCAGTTTCTATGCACGGGGTTCTGTGTTGTAAGAGTAATTTAATGGCGCCGGTACATATGTCTGTAGAGCTGTGTAATCATAAATCTGTTTTTTTCTATAATAATCATCACTGGTACCTCTTCAAGGTTTTATGTGATATATGTTACCTAATTCTGTCTCTTTAAAAATCAGCATAGTGTATCAGGCATTATTTTATATTTCTATATAGCTTCTCTACAAATACAATTATAATGGACATTTATTATTTTTGCTGATATACTTAACTCTTTGACGTTTAGCTTGCTTCTTGTTTTGCTCTTATAAAAACCAAGTTTTGTTTACTATGTCTACGTATCTTACTGACCTGAAAGAACTCTCATACTGAAGAGGAACAAAAAACACCAAGTTTTGTAAAGTGTGATCCTGTTCTTCCAGAAGAGATAGGAGCTCTGTTTTTGGGAAGAGGAAGCACTGTGAATGCGATCGTAAGGACTGTGCACCATGTTGTCTGCAGACACGCCCTGGACGCTGCAGCTCCAGGCAGCACTGTCACCTGGTCTCCAGCCTCGTGCAGTGGTCAGCATTCAGCATGTTTCTCTTTAGATTTCCTTCTTATGGAGTCTGTGCCCCTTGACCTGTGTGAGGCTGCAGGCAGGCGGGCAGGCCAGTGCTTTCATTATTCCCTCTGCCCCCAGTTCGGGAGAACTCCCGAGGTCTCCTGGTCTCAGGCAGGAAAGGAGTCTGGCTCTCCATCCTCCCTCTGAAGTGGTCATCCTGAACACCAGGGTCCCTGCCTCTCCAGTGCTTGGGGGACCCTTCCCAACCTAAGAGAGCATCCCAGACTGTCCCCGCCACATTGTGTGTGGGTCCTTGTCCCCCTGGATGAGAGACACTTGGCTGCTGGGGCAGGGCCACCTTCACGTAGCTGCCTCCACAGTTGCACTGACACGACTATTGTTATAGCCTGTGAGCCCTTCTGATTAAAAAAAAATAGACAACTAAATGAAGAGCAAGCAAAACAGCCGCGTGGTAACCCGGAAGCAGGGGTGCGGGTGAGCGGCGGGCGTGGTGGCGGCACTCTCGACTGCTCTGGCTGCTTGGGTTCCTGGCATGCTGATTTGTGACTTAAGATGAAAATCACATTGCCAGGGATTACCACGCAACCACGACCTTGGCTGCTCCTCCAGAAACTATAGTTCCTCTCTCTCTGCAGTTGGGAGAGCAGATGCATCTCGTAGCTCTGCTGTGGAAGTGAGACGCCAGCGAAGCGACCGCAGAGGATGCGCTCCACCCTTTAGTTTTGCCCAAGACGGATGGCCTCTCTGGCAAGGTGCAGAGCTTAGCTGATTGGTGAACAGTGATTGGTTTCCGCCTTGTTCACAGTGGCTAAGTTCTGCACCTGAAGAGAAGGTGAGATGGGGCAGTTAACTCGGAGCTGCTGGGCAGAGGCCTCTCACTGACTGGGAAGCCCACTCCTGAGTGGTCAGGTCTGGAGAGTCCCTTCTGGAGGATGAGACACCCACCCACTCAGCCAAAGGACTCACCTTCTCCAGTCAAGAATGCAACGAATATTCCAGAAGCCTTTAAGCGTGTCTTCGAAAATAAAACCCACTAATTGGTCAGCCTTCTGAAAGGTCAAATATATCGAAAGCAGCACAAATTGATTCTTAACAGAAACTAAGTCCATTAGTACATCGCCAGTGTGTAAGCAGCGTGTGGGCAGGACCTGGTGGTGGTCTCACGCGTGGTGAACTCTCTCCTGTGTCTGTAGTCTAGGTCTCTGTGTCTTCTGCGGCCACTAGTGGACGGCGGGACGGCGCTCAGCGAGGCACTTCTGCTGCGGGCTGTCAGTTGGACCCGTCCTCCGGTGCCTACTGAGCTGATATCAGTTCTCATTTCACACACTGGCTCAGTTCAGCAGGAACAGGAGTCGAGCCCTAGAGCAAAAAGACTTCCCGTTTGTAAGTGCCGGAGGCTCCTTGAGCCCAGACCCACCCACGCATGGAGACAGACCTGAAGCCGGCCGGCTCCCCTGGTGCCGTTTGTATGTGTCCGTGTGGTGCGGGTGCGGGTCAGATCCCAGAGTTAAATTGGCGTGAAGGACTGAGGACGCTCTCAGAGTTGGGACGCGGTGAGCACCGCGGTGAGGTGGGTCCCCTGGCAGGTGCCGTGGGCAGAGCCCACCTCTTCCCCATGTGGAGTTATGGGCTTTCTGGAAGCAGTTAGAACGAATGCAGATCTAAAGTGGTCTCTCTTAAGGGATGGATGGCTTCATAAGCAAAGCCTTCCTGGTAACCCATTGGGTTTCATAATCTCGTGAGAGCAAAGCAATCATCAGACAGTACCACTGTAAACCCAGCCCTGCGGCTGCAGGACATGGCTGGCCCAGCCTGGTCTTCCACACTGCTGGGGGAAAGGCACACAAAGGTACTTATTTACTGAGACCCCCTTTACAAGAATTCCTCCGTGGTGACTAGGCAATAAAGTTTACTGCTGTTTCCTTTGCAGGAAAGATCACAGCGAGATGCTTTTTCATCCATCTCCTCCCAGCCCTGGTGGGAGCAGGCGGCACTGACCTGGACATCAAAGGAGGGATTATCTGTATGGCTGCTGGAGCTGTCAGCCCACAGCTATGCTGGCTTCCCCTGGACACCAGTCCTCACACTGTCTCCCACCTGGGGCTGTATTGGTGCCTTGTTGTCCCCTCCCTGCACTTGCCATCTCAAGCTTTTCAGTCTGAACTGGATCTTCCCGATGATTTTAGGCAGTTGTTTAATCAAACTGACTAGCGATATCTGAGGCGGGTGGGGCAAGTTGCTGAGCATTTTCCATTGGTCTCTGGAGATGTGGTTCCACAGATGTTTCTGACATCCCAGCAACCGTTCTGTGCCCTCTTCTGGATCCTTCACACAGACTCTGTAGAATTGGTTTGATTGATGAATCCAGTGACTAATTTTTCTAAGGTATCTACCTTTTTTTCAAAGTGCAGGATGAATGGTATGTGTTGTTATTATTAATAAAATGAACCTGATTTGTTCTTTGGGATTATTTTGTATTCCTGTTTGCTTCTAAATTTGATACAGTTTAAAGTAAGAAAAAACAATCTGTAAGAAAACAGTATACCCTCCACATTCTGATGCTGTTCCTTCTCCAACCCACTATGTTTATAGTGTTCAGCGCTCTGTTAATATATGGCTGCCTGGGTGTGGGGGCAGTCACTCCTCCTAAAACACAGCATCTCAGGTGCATTCGGCCCCACCAGAGTTTCTGAGAGTCCTTTTTCTTATAAATGTATGAAGTTTAAAAAGAAAAAAAAAAATCTCTGGAAAGATACACTAGAAACTACTTCCTAGTACTGTCCCAGGGGAAACAGAGTGGACGTGATCGTGGGCAGAGTCACGTGGTCATGTACGAGGCTGAGGTAAGTTTAGAACGCAGGTGTGGCCTTTAGGTGCTTGGCAGGTGCTGTGTTTGTGAGCACCCTAGTGTCAAGGCTGCTGGTGCTATTTTTCCAACAGCCGGGGCTCACTTTGTATCTATGTCACATTTTGATGATTTTCTCATGACAGTTCAGACTTTTTCACATGTACACTCAGTAGACCATCATGTAGTGTAAACGTAACTTATATCTGCGTGTGGCTCGCTTCATTGTGCTACTCACTTTATTGCGGTGGTCTGGCACCAGCTCCAAGGCCTGGCTCAACAGGGGAGCACGAGCTCCTCCAGAAAGAGAAAGGGCGTCCTGGAGCAGGCTGCCACATGGATGGGCCTTGGAAAACTCGTGCGGAGGGAAATAAGCCAGTCACAGTGCTGTGTGAGCCCACTGACATGGAATGCCTGTAGGTGGCAAGTGTGTGCAGACTGGTCAGCCAGGGGCCGGAGGAAGGCCAGTGATGGGTATTGCTGAAGGAGGGCCAGGTTCCTGGTTAGGCTGATGAAAAACTTAGAAATGAACAGTGGTGCATGTAACTAAATGTCATTGCAACGTGTACATTTTTTATATTGTAAAATGGCAAACTTCTTATATGTTACCACAATGTTTTATCGTTATGGAGTGCTGGTGGCACTGTAGAATAAGCACTGAACTTCTAACCACAAGGTTGGAAGTTCAGACCCACCAGCCACTCTTCAGAAGAAAGATGAGTTTGCTGCTGCCATAAAGACGTACAGCCTCTGAAACCCTCGACAGGCTTCCTATGAGTCCGAACTGGTATGATGGCATCTAACAACACATACACATATATGATATGTAATTATATAATACATGACTGGCAAGGTTTCCTCCTGGCTCTCTGGGGTTACATTCCTGGGTGCCCCT